GTTACCTCACAATCATCACTTTAACACACAAATAACTTACCGATAAGAGCAGACGATACTTGTAATTAGGATACTCCCGGTTGCACTTCTCACATCGGAAAAGTCCATTTTCTTGATCCACCAATTTCTTATTACACTGTTCCTGTGGGCAGGCCTTGTACAGTGCATTGTCTGAGAAAGTGAATGTTAGGACTCCTAGAAGCGAATAATAGTCCCCTTTGCTACCGGAACCGAGTTGCTTCGATTCCGCTTCGGAGAATGACATCCATTCACTGCTACCGCCTGTGTAGCCACCAGCTCTGCAATAATAAGTTAAAGTCAAAAATCATTTAATCATATAGGTAACACAATGTACACTTATGAACGTCAAAAAAAAAAGAAATGTATATGAAATGCTTCTAACTTTATATTTAGTGCCAGTTCTCAAATCAAGGGCGTAGAACGGAAGAGAAGAACTGGCAATAAACTCCGCCCCTCTTTTTAATTGCCATGTTTTTTTTACACAATGTTTGTAAGGAGCTGCAACCATTACACCATGTTCCACATGACATCTTAAGTAATTAATTATAATAACATAAACAAATTAAAGAATTGTCCTTTATCAGCAGGAGGCATGGGGAAATAGAAGTACGCACTTACATTCTCGTGGGAACAACACGCAAATACATAGTCGAAATAACTAACATGTAGTGTTTAGTACTTATAGTTTGAGGGTAGAAGGTAGTATGCATAGTTTTTTAACATGACCTTATTTATGAATTTTGATGTTAACAAGACCTAGGACACATGGAGGAACAATTCAAAAGGTTTGGAAGATTTAAAAATTAAACCTAATTAACTAGAAAGTTAGCATCCAAGTGGGACTGACTAATATGATTTGCCTACGAAAATTTGTTAATGGCCTCAAATTAGCATGTAAAGTTATCGGTCCTACGTATGCCCTCATGACACTGCGGTCTTGTAAGACATATCTAGTATGAGTTATGGAATTGTGTAATAATATCTCCTCTGTGTACATGACAACTAAATAGAGATAAACCGTGACCTAAGTGTATAGTCACACAGAAAAGAATAATTGTTAAAGTATTTCGAGTAGAATGTACTGGATATAGTAAACACAACACTTTAATATGCAAGAAATGACTAATACAAGAGCATTTTACTTGTTAATTTTAATTCAACGGGACAGTTACAACAATAAATCTGCATAAGATTTTGATACACTTTTGCTACCTATATTGTATTTTATAGTAATTTTTGACTTCTGGTGTACTTATAATAAAAAAAGATCTAGAAGGGGCAGTAAAAAGTAGAGAAATACCGACTAAGGAGGAGAGTTAAGATAATAAATTGTAAAATTTTAGCAAAAGTTATATATAGCGAAACCAGTTCTTTTATTTTGAATTTATTAAATAATTACCAAATACTTTGTTTAGAACAACACGCTCAGCACTTTGAAAAACAGTAAAAAAAATTACCTGGCAGATATGTTGACAACTTCCATATCAGCACCTCCATTGTCGTACCAGCCTCTTAACTTATGTGCTTCTGGTAAATCAGGGTTCATACGCAACACAGTACCTGCTAGACATGAGAGAGATTTGCTTCCGTTGAATTCAGTCAGACGGGCTCCCTGTTAAATAAGATACAATTATTTAAAATTAAGCGGGGATTGTATTTATATATGAATACGGTTTATGCAATTTTTAGGTAGTGACCCATACAAAATAAAATTAAATTTACATTAATAAATATGCATATATATACGTAATTTAAAAGAAAAAATGTTTTAAAATGGTACATTTTCATATTTTTTAAAGGAATCTCGCTGTTGGGCTGTTTTTAAAGGTATCTGGGTAATTTAAAATTTGCATTTAAATTAGCTAGAGCTTCATATACCAATTTCCAAACAAGTAATTAAACAAAACAATTTTTTTAATTTACTATATAATATATATATTATTAATACCAATTTAAATCGTAAGTTCGACCTAAAACATATTTTAAGCGCCAGGTAGATACCGTGAGGTTGTCGGATCGAATCCCGCGAAATAATTATTTCGATTAGCTTTGCAAGGCAAGTGCCTTAAATTACGTCACTGTTGCTAAATGTGGTTAAATCATTAAATTAAATACTGAAAAATAATTCGTAAATTAAGAAGATTTTTCATAATACCTTTGCAGCTACTATGGGGTTTGTGCTGCTGTCAAATGTCTCCGCTTCGTTACCCCAGAGTGTCAATGATATCTGAAATGATTTTTTTATTTATTCATACATACATACATCATTACAGACCAAGCCAATACGATAATGTGGAATACTTAAAATTCGAAAAAAAAACTACATATAATATGAAGTAGTCACGATATAATAATGTCGCTAATGAACATAAAAAGAAGTCGAGAAATTGTTATTACCAATTTTTTATTCTCCGTTGTTGTAAAGTTTATCTGTATATGTATTCTGTACCTTATAAATAAATTATAATCATGGTAAACAATTAATCAGTAAGTCATTAATAGAAGATCTATGTCTAATTTCAGTTCATTGAACCCTTAATAAAAAGTTACTGTTTCACAAGATTTTTCTTTCCAACAAGAAAATATTCTTAGTGCTTGAGGAATGCCTTCAACGGTTAGAATATACAATACTTACTGCCCCTCCAGACGGGTCCACAAGAGTGACCTCTCTCTTCTTCAGCAACTTGCCAGTACTCCGGGCAGTTAATTCTTGCACATCAGATGCCATCTTGCATACTCCTATTGTATCTAAATTAACAAAACTTGATTAGCAATAGTAGATCAGTAGATGTCAAGAAACGGGTCCCAAGCACACCTGCATAATTTCGTAACGGTTCCTTCATATATCAGGAAACTTAACTTCTCGGAAATATATCAAGATACTTTTGTTTTTAAATTGGTCAATTCAATCCAAATTTCACATTAGTAATCATCGGTTTGGTGGTGTTTGGGGTATTGCCCATGCATTTCTGGTAGCCTATGCTACATGCCCTCGTGTATATAGGCCTAATTAAATAATGTTGACAGCTATTTAAGTTAAGGGTAAGATTCAGAAACAAAAATTGGCGCCAAGGTTTAATTTTCACTCTTAGATAGTGATAGGAGTTATAGTTTGCGTTAAGTTTCGGTTCTCAAGGGTGAGTTTTAAACTACAACACAAGTTGGTATGGCCTTTTGGAAATGGGCCGGTCACATATCTAGGGTGCGGAGTGATGGACACTTGCAGCCTCAAAATGGACTGGACCTACTGGAAAGAGGCATAGGACAAACAAAAATATGGGCATAATAGAACTAACGTGAAAAAAACTGGATGAATGTTGCTCAAAAAATGATAAATATAAAGGATGCTTTAACCCTAAAAGGGGCCATACAAACACAAATACTAGACCACTAACAAAACTAACATTCTCTTTCAGAACTTATACTAGCACAAATAATACTTATGCTATGAAATGTGCACTAAACAATTATTATATGAACTAATTAATAATAGGAATGGCAGTTTGTCGGTGGGGAAGGGTTTTGAGAAAAAAATAACTTTTAAATCTTACCCAATAGTGTATCAACATTCTTGTTAGCAATTTCGCTGATTGGTGTGAACTCATATTTAACAGAGGGCATGCTTGAGGTATCTTCCATACATTCCGCGACCACTGTGTCTGCTGTGAACGTCATCTCATAGTCATTTTTGATACTTGTGTACTGCTTGTTGGCTGTTTTTAGTTGACACCGACTTATGTAGTATACCTTGTCTATCTGTAATTTTATAGGTGTAAATAAATAATAATCAAAAAAATCTAGAGCTATAACAGGCTATTGTTCCCGTTCTAGGGTTTTTAACTTGTAATAATTAGTTATTTTGTTAATGGTCCTTCTAGGTACAGAGAACAAGTTTATAATTCTATGGACTGACAATTTGTATTACATTGTAAAATTGATTCGATAGTATGAGCCAAATTGTTATTTAAAGAAATGTTTACTAACTTGTAACATATCATAGAATTTGTCACACTCATTACGGAATGCTGTGGCTCGTATCTCTCCACTTTCATCACACAGGTCACAACTGAACAGTTTTCCCTCACCCTTGGCATTGCTCCATGTGCGAATAGGGCTTTTAGTCATAACGCGCGCTTTGATTACCCATCTATAAATGTTGTATTGAGATATTAGATTTATGTAAGTCTAATACAAAATAAAAATTTCAACAGCTTATTGGAAGGTAGGAAAAAGACACAACCCGAAATGTTAAAAAGGAACTAGGTAGCATTCAGAGTATTTTGAACACTAGAAGCTGAAACAATCACCTGAAATTTTTCAAAAATTTAATAATAATATGTTAATCTCTGTGAAATTAATGTTTTAAATAATAAAATACTTACTTATTTTGATAAGGACTTAAACTTGTAATAGGATGTGTCATTTGTGAACTGAGCATGCTGCTATCCAGATTTGTAGAGGCACTAGAATTTGCCATCGAGCTCATTGGTCTACTCGGTGCTGGCTTGGGTCTGGCAACTGCTTGTAGGGCCTGTGGGCTAGTTTTTGCAGCATCTTCAGACCATCTCATAGGATTACCAAGTTTTTTTCCAACTTGACTTCCAGATGCTATTATTGTGACATCCACAATTATCATGACACGTCTGAAAATACAGTTATTTCATACTACAAGTGATACATAAACCATACATTATAACAGAAGTTTTTGGACTGCAACTTTATTGGTAAACAGCTTCTCTTACTGGCCACCAGTTTTGGAAAGAGTTAACAACTACATGAATTACAAAGATATTTATGAAATATTCTTAATTTTAATCACTATATCTTTTTAGAATACAATCTACAATAAAATAAGTTGCACTGAAACTTGCATTAAGATTATATATTTTGATAAAACTTGTATAGCCATAGGAGTTAATAAGATTAAAGAGATAATGTAATAAATTGTAATGGCTAATTTTGCCTTTTTCATCTTGAAATTAAGAATACATACCTATCACCACTTTTTCACTCTTTTCATTAGTTAAAATAGAAAGAACAAATCGGTCAATTTGAACAACAGCATAATCAGACAACTCCCCAGAAATCAGTTTATCATTAAGCTGAGTTGCAAGGATGGCAAAACTGTGAGAATGCTTGCCATCAGATAATAGAAGTCTGAATCTTTCACCTGATCCATGACCTTGAATTTTTTTACTACCTAATACTTGCATGATTGGTTTATCATAATGACCGCCTTTCATTATCACCTGAAAATATAATTTTGCATTGTCATATTCTTGTCTTACTATGGAAAGATAAATAATAAATCAACAACATTTTGGTTAAGAGACAGAATTACAATGAAAGAAAATTTTCGAATTGGACTTATTAACATTTTAAAGATATTCTCGTTTTAGTACTCAATCTGTTAAAATTGAAAAAATTTATTCATAAAACTTCATACCTCAAGTGATCCTTCTGACAAATTGTATGCCATTGTAAAAGATTATACGATCAGAAAACAAATATTAGAAATTTTTTAATAGAGAAACTACAATATATTTAAACATTTAACTCTGAAACATTATATTATGTAGTTTTCTGTAACAACTAACACCGTTAACCGTAGCGGTAGTCCGTACACGATTTCGTCGTTAATTTATAATGTCAATGTCAAATTTTGGCGCGAAACCAGTTAGATCCATTAAAAAATAATCTATGGAGTCTACCCTTTATGGATTTAAGTTTTTCATTACTATACAATATTAATCTGCGGAAACAGAACCGGCGTGGTGGTAAGGTTTGTATAATTATTAATTCTTATATTATATAATAAATAAATTGACGCGCTTTCTACGCGTTTATTGTCATAATCAATAGATATAACGGAATCTCATGGCAAATAGGGAAATAAAAATTTGTTGTGGGCAATACTGGGGAAACTGAATTAAATAATCTTGATACTGTTTAATTTTTATTTATGTCTTTAGTATTAATGAACGCTAAGTATATTAGTTACTTGTATTAAGACTGTTGTTATACATCGTAAATTATTTTATGTACTAATTTATTATATATAATTTCAATCATACTGTACTGTACTGTAGGGATGTTGTATGTCTTTACTAATGAAGGCATTTCGTATGGTTCCCCCCACACGAAGAAGGCCACCCTCTCCAAGATATGGATTCAATGCAATTAATTTACTTTTATTAATGCGCTCCTTTCTTCTTAAGTTCTCAATCTCGTAGGAAAATTCGTCTTCTTGTACGTGACGAATTAACTACCATTTTGCTTCCATTCAGCTAAGTTAAGATGCCGTTACCTTTAACCCTTATTTTTTGGTAAAAGCCGTAATATCCAGGCAACACTTTTGATTGCCCGTGAGAAACTACTGCAGTGTTTTGCTTCCACACTTCTTGAAAAAAAATTTTCATAGCCGTAATTGCAGGAGCTAACCAACCCGTCAGATATATCTGACAAAAGCTCTCTTTTGATCGTCTTATTCTAAAAGTCAAATGACGATTGAAACTTAAAGCAATCTTCTTTCGGGTTCCAGTATACCCAGTATTTATGAAATAAGATCCCCTTTTAACGTAAATATTTGCCGAAAGCCTTTTCAATAGGTATGTTTAGTTCGTTGGATGCCCATTTTCTTAATGTAAAGCCCCCTGCCTGCCACAGATCTTGTAACTTCGTTACCATGCTGCATCCTTCTTCTATAGAATATTGAGCCCCATATATTGAGTCATCTGTATAAAATGTTTGCTCTGTAATTTCCGCTGCCCGTGGAAACCGAGGTCTCATCTCCATAGCTAGCGGCTTTGACGTCATCATGGCTAAAAAGAGCGCCACCTTTGTGCCATACGTATGTCAGTTCGTATTCCTGTAACGGTTGAATTTTTGTAGGTATCTCGCCAAATAATTTTTTGCATTTTCCGATCACACTCAAAAATGACAATATTTCTAAACATTTTCTCCACGTCTGCATATGTATACACCATAACGAAATACTTCTTACCATACTCCACTTTAATATTAGGGATTGTAAGTCTTGTTGTTTAAACTAAGTCCCGTTGATGTCTTTGAATTTTGAATACAACACGTAGTTTTGTAGTTTCCGAATGTGCCCGGGTTACACAATGATGAGATAAATAATACCCAATATCTGAACCCTTATTTTTGACAAAAGACATGTGCCCTAAGTCCTTATACTCATTTAAAAAGTCTTTATATTGCCTTGCGGTTTTGGGTTGCCTCGCTTATTTCCGTTCCAGGCTATGAAATTGCTTGTTGTTTTTTTATACAACTTAAGACAATATTGGTCTTCAGAGGACACGACGGATGGAGACTCTTTAATGTCTTCTATTTCCCAAAATTTCTGTAGTAATCTTCAGTGCTATTTAGTATGACTTTAGTTTTCCACATAAAATCCATCCAAATCGTATCTGTTGTGCTATAGGTTGTGAGAGATTTTCTTCTCTGAATATTCCACCCATCTTAATTTGAGAGTAGACATCGGCTCTAACCATATATATCTATTTGGCAGCTTCTGTTAAATTCGGGATCTGCCAATTCGATATCTTTAATATACGGCCATGATATTAAAGGAGTTTTTAGGTAATTTATGCACTAAATTATTCACAATAAAAACTCTTGTTTGTAATGTATAGTTAGTGTGAATAGAAGAACAGGTCAATGTTACCTGACCCTTGATCCGTCGTGTGTTTTCCCCCACTCTTGAGATAACACCATTACCTACAGCCTTCCCTGTTTAGTTTCAACAACCGTGCTGCCTTTTTGCTAATTATTGATATTTGAGACACCTGTCAATAAGTGCGCGCATGATGTAATTCTTTCCATTACCCCACTTCTGCAAAATCTTTAGATGAATAATAATATTTTTTTATATTGAAACTTACTTGATGGACGATTAGGAGAAGTCGAATTATTTAATGCATTATGTAACCTTGTATTATGCTTCTGATAACAAACTGTGCATCTACTCGGTGAAACATAATCCTTGACATCGTGGTTACATAAACAATTAGTATCTTTAATTTTAAAACTGTATCAAGCCTTTGTTTATAATTCCTTGCTAAAAAAGATTTACAATTAAACGTGACATGATTAGGTGATTTGCATAATTTACAGTAGGTACGTGTTTTTACCTATATTTTCATGACGTCGATTACTCACTTGCGATGACACGAATTTATTGTTGATTGGCTTATTATTAGGTCGAAGTAGATGTTTTGCAACAAAATTCTGCTGAGGTCGATTGTTTGTTGTTTCCAAGGCAGTAAATGTTTTTTTCCAAGAAATCAATTAAATATTTAAGCACCGGTAATTCTTTGGGATACTTGATGCAATGTATGCTTGATAGGTGTCATAATCTAGTTTTTGAGACAGAATATGAATTATAATGGTGTCCCAATGCTCTTTGTCAAAATTTTGAGCCCATTCAAGCATTCGAAAGTGACATCGTGAAGTTTTTTAATTTGTTCCAGGTTGTCCTTTATGCTTTTATCAATCCTTGGAAGCTGCATAAAACTATTTAGATAGATAATAGAACTATTGACATAGATTTAGATATAGATATATGTTTTTGTATCTATTTGTGATAATTCTCCAACATGCGTCATAATTTTCATTGCTAACTTGCAATTATTGATGTATGAGCCTCTCGGGTTCCTCCCTTAATTTTGATTTTAAATATTGCATTGTTTCTGCGTTAGAAAGGGTTGAATTTTTCCGTCCCGGAGTCCCGGAATGATACCCATTTTTCAAAACTACCGTTATATATAGGTATAGGATAGACCGAAATTTGAGATTTATTCGTCCTTTTGACGCCTATATATAATTATATAGCTTCCTGCTCGTAATATTTATTGTGATACTCAGAGTTGGATTGGCCTACAAGATCAGCATCCATTTCGATAAAGGTTTTAAACATTAAATTCCATCGTGACTTTATTGTTTCTAGAGCTTCCTCAAGACCACTTTGTCGGATGCCGAGTATAAATTAGATAGTTCCAACATCCGATCAAATGACTTAAATAAAGCTGCTTGTTTGCAAAGCAACTCGCATTTGCTTATAGATAGATATATAAATAACTTAAGACTTCATTCCGAATTAGAAAACGATTCCAGGAACTCCACTTGCATTTCTTGATCTTTAGGGAACTAATTACCTACTTAATATTTTTTATTTTATTTTTGAATTTCCTTCTAACTGTAAATGGAAAATGTCCAAGTTTCCCCTCATTTTATTTATTATTATTTTAGGGAGCGTTCAAGTATTACGTAATGAATTTGGGGGGGGTCCTTTAGTAAAACGTTACGATGAGGGGCGGGGATTGAATTACGCGTTAATGTTAATATTATTTTCGACATTCCAGTACTTTACTTACACGAAACGTTGTTCTATTGGATACAGAAAAACGTTACGGCGCGTTACATTGGGGGGTCAATAATCTCCAAAAAATTGCGTGACGTACCTAATACTTGAACGCACCCTTATGCCATGAGATTCCGGTAGCTATGACCTAATTTTTATATTATGTATCAATTATTTTCATGCTATTTTTTTCATTTGGTTCTGGTTACGTTGAAAAGCTTTACTTTCATTATATACTGTAAAATGAATGCTTTGCGATTTGTGTTGCTTTTATTATATGCGTTGTTTATGCTTTATTTCTAGTATCGATTGTTTGGGTCATTTACAAAAATGGGATCAAGATATCGCCAAAGAACTTCTAAACATACAAATGACGACAATCTTCCATACGCTCTAAATAAAATTATAAATGTTACAACAAATTTTTATTCAAAACTTAACATCACAGTTTTGGTAACGTAGTCATTTATCATAATTATTTACACAATATAATCATTCAGTTAACAATTATTTTGATCAAAAATACAAAATTCAAAAATATATTATAGATAAAAAATACATTTTTCATTGTTGTATAAACTAGAGAAGTAGATACAAAAACGTTGTTAAGTACACTTGCATACATTTACAATAATTTATCTGTACTTTAAAATTCCTACTATACAAAAGAAATTCAGCATTATATAGGAACTACTCAAAATTCGCAGGCTTAAAAAGAATAACTATTATTTATTCACGACTTAACATAAAAATCGGTCGCTTTATGAAAATGTAAAAAGATAAGTCGCCGAAACATCACAATGTGTACTCGTAATTTGTTTGATTAGGAATAACGCTCTGAAGTTTAAGACAGAAGTAAAAGTGAATCAAACTTAATGATCCCATTACAAATGGGATAATCAAAGTAAAGTACACATGATGATTTCATTAACATGGTTAATAATCCTGCTTAAAAAGAATATAAATGCTTGTATCAAAATTTCTTGTTCTAGTCACGTTGAAATGGTAAATTATTTCTAAAATCCGTCCACACTGCCTATTCGTCTGCTATCAGTCTGCGGTACAAAATAGTCGCCGCTATCTCTCATAGCCGCCACCATAGCCGCGAAACCCGCCGTTGGGCCACGGCTGGTGGTCACGTGACCGCGGGCACGTAAAGAAGAAATCACTGCCTAAAAATAGAATAATATAAAATAATAGCTTAACTTCTACTGGTATCCTAAATCAACAGGGTAAGTTTTGATTGTAACAAGTTGTAATAAATAACCTCTTTCATCCACAAATTATTACATAACATTACCGTTGCCAAGAATGTAAAATATGTAACTTCACTTATATTCGTATAGGTAACAGATGTGCCACACAATTTTAAGAACCGAAAAAAATAACAAATAAAGGTTTTTGTTAGTCCAGCGTCGCAACCACCAACCACATGCAAGCAAATAAGACAACCATAATTGTCATACTTCATTCAATCCTATTTTTATGTTAGTTATTATTTAATAATAGCTTCGAACAAAGTGTTTCATTTATTTGGACATCCCTCCAACAACTGCCACCGAATTGAATATATCCCATATAAAAACAAATTACAGTGAAATCTCTGTCAAGGGAAATGCAAAGAACGAGTTAACGAGTTTTCGACTTAACAAGAACTTCGGGGTACATATGATGTTAAGTGCGATTTGTTGAGTCGAATTTGAATAACAATTCGTAGTATATATTTTTAGAACGAATGACTGTATTTTTTATTGAGATTAATGAAGTAAACTGTACAGTAAACATAATCCATTAACTTCTTCTGGTTTCTTAGAAAGTTTTATAAATGTATTCATTCACTGCACGTGTACAAGACAATAATACTGGGTTCACACGGCATTGTCCTGCACGTTTTTTTGCAGTATACGTCTTAACGAATAAAAAGTGGCAAATGTATTGTACATAGACCCATTCACACGTTTGTACTGCAAAATATCGTACAGCGTTTATACGTTCAAACGAATACTCAACGGACTTGTCAAGCATATCGAATGAACTTTAACGTTAATTCGGTTTAAAGGGGCACATAATATAGCTCTGTCTCGTTCTCGCTCACTGTGACAATTGTGGGAAGACTGCGGTAATACTTATTTTACACGAATGAAAATCTAACATGTGAAAACCCGGTCTAACAATAGATTAGAAGCACCGAACCCGATCATTCATTTTGAATTTAATTGATATTATTTCGGAGAATTCCAAGTAAGAAGTCATTATATTTTACTAACTCCTCCCCGAGTCATAGAGTATAAGTATGTATATATTATCAATATTTCGCGTAGGGAAATAACATTTTGTTCGAGTTACAAAGTCTAAATAATTCGAGATACTGCGTAATTCCGGGTTTAGCGGAAGGGAATGGCAATATTTTACGACTTATTGAGGATTTCGACTTAACGAGGTTCGAGTTATAAAAATTCCACTGTAATACATAGCACTAAACTTAGTTTTGAGTGCTTTTTAGCAATCGTGGTCAGGAGTTTCATTTAAGCTAATTGTACCACGTCAACACTTAGTTAAAAAGAACTTACTGGGTCGAACTTTTCTTCATACTCTATTTCCATGGGAATGAGTTGGTGATGTAGACGCGGCCTCTTCATGACCTCGGGCAATTCACTGTCTTCGAGAAGCGTATGCATTGTTAGCTGAAAAAAACATACTTAATTTAATGCACAATGTATGACGCCACAAACATTATTTACTAACGGCCTGTATTTTCTTAATATTTTGGAATAATGTAGCAATCTAATAGTAAAAGCATTTTGGAAATCAGTAGTAGTTTTTATTTAATTTAAAGTCTTTATAATTGCCAGCCAACATAATAAATATTTAACAATGCTGTATTTGTACAAATTAATACTTGCGCCTGAAATTTTGTAACATTCTAAATGTTAACACGTATGGGCTAGTTGTTGTGATGCAGAACTTGAACACCTACCCTCCGTAGTCCGTACTAGTTAAAAACTGTATGTCGGTAGAGTAGTGCGGCCAGCTCGTTGTCTTTTTTGGTATTGGTTACAAATATATGAAACTACTAATATAAATTATATTATATTTATATTTACCAATATAAATCTTCGATTTTTATAACTAATTTGTGTTGTGCATTGTCACAGTAAAGATATAAATTGTTACCAATGCAACTTGAGTCGTGATCTTCGTTCCACCGGCGCCACCAAGTATCAAGTCCACCGTGTCATTATTTCGTAGTACAATACTCGGTGCCATAGAGCTGAGCGGTTGTTTACCCGGGCTAATAATGTTAGCAGGGGAGGGAGGCATGCCGTATACTGATTCCCGATTGGGAATAGCGAAGTCATCCATTTCATTGTTTAATATGATTCCTGTGCTTCTTGAACGGCGCTGTGAGCCCCATCTATAAAACCATATTTCAGTTCTAATAACGATTCTTCTTTAATAACGATGCAAACACGAAATAAATATTTGATCATGAACAAATGAAGCGGAGTTTCAGCAACCTAAATGAATTCATTTTTATAATCTTAATGATATAATTTTTATAATTATTTTATTAAGACTATCTTATCTAGAACTATATTGTGATATTTTGCGTAATTAACAGTAGTAAATATTGCATAATAATTAATCTTTTTGTCATTGGAGTGAAGTTACGCCGCTCTAAAGACAAATTGTTTAAATACTGTAAGTTAAACTGTTTTACGCCTCATGCCTCACATCAGGTTGTTTCAGATGATTCTTAAGACATTTTTCAATGAATTAAAATAATCCTATAAATAGAAATAGTATTATGGAAAGCCACTGAAAAACGTAGAAAAAAACAAGATCGATTGCGCCATAGAGCAACATTAAATAAATTTTCCTTACATATAGTTAATAGTACTTGTAGCAGATACGGCACTACCATCTGGTGCGACAACAATAATATGCGCAGTGCCGTGGTCGTCGGCACCTTCAAACATTGCACCATAGTATCTCCAATCTGAAAATGTGCGAGTGTCGTCCACTTTAGCTCTGTGCTCTACTGCCCACTCAGGCGTAGACAAATTGCGTTCCAACTGAAACAAAATATAATCAATTCAACACACGTTTTATTAATTTTCTCTCTATATTCAGATATAGAAATGCCCTAAAACATTGAATTTGAATCGATGATTCGTATAACGTAAATATTTCTAATACTCAACTGTTATTATAGTATTGATAAGGCACTAATATATTCTTAGGCCTGGAAAGACAATAATGAGGATAAAAGTAGAGGATGATTGTTGCCATTTTAGATTTCAATACATATTTAGAAAATAGCGAAACTGGATGACAATGCAATTTGTAACCTCGTTTTTTCGTTATATATATCAAAACCTCTGTAAGTTTAGAACGCAATTCAACAGCTACATAAAAACAATAGTAATTGATCATTAATCTATGGGTAAAGTATCAACTTAAGTAAAGTTGATACTTTATGCAAATGTTATACTAATATAAATTTCTATTTTGTTAATAATAGTAAGTATGTTACATGATGTCATGCTTTGGCAAAACTCATTATTTTCTATAATTTATTCAAAATATGTATATACAGAGTTTTGTTTTCAATGTGATCTCCTGAACAAAGTCAACAAAATAGAATTTTATTTAAATGTTTTTTGCCGATTGGGTTATTCTTTAATATGATTCCTGTGCTTCTTGAACGGCGCTGTGATCCCCAACTATATAACCAAATTTCAGTTCTGTAATTTACACACTCTAAGCAGGTGACGAAAAAAAATATTTGTCTTGAACAAACGAGGCGGATTTTCAGCAACCTTAAGCATTCTTAATGTAATATTTGTTATCTCCTGAACAACCTCTACAAAAATATAATTGTATTTAATGTTAAATGTTTGTTGTAACATAGTTTTGTTAATCATTCAGCCCAGTAAAGCCTTAATATATTCTCCAGGTTATTAAAGCATAAAGTTCAATAACAATATATCATGTATATAATATAATATGTCAAATACGTCGTAGTTAATCAATGTTATCACTATCAGTAATTACTTTAAATACGAGACTTCGTGTCGTTTGATGTGAAGGAAATCTATATAGATAAGGCTTTGTGCATACAAAACTAAATCCAATTTTAACTCTTATCACTACTGTCAATAATTTACGTAACTAAACAGTAAATAATTATTAAAAACATATTTTGTTTTTATACGATAAATTTTAGAATGAAATTATGAGATGATCGGATGACAGAGTTGGATCTTAAGTCATGTACATATTAAGATAGTTTATTAGTTATATTAATAAAAGAAAATAGTAGAACGATTAAGTTTGTTTTTTTGGTACAAAAGCATTTCATTCAAAATTCATATATTTTTTACAAACCTTTACGTTTTTAGTGTTCCGGTGGAAAGTGGAATAATAAACTTGAATAAAATAAATAACTGCAAAGCTTTTCTGTTGGGGTGGGGCACTTACTGTGTCACTTCCAACGACGCCGTTTTAGTAAAACCAACGTAAAGGTGGTAAAGATCACCTACCTCAGCGATGCTAAACGGTAGATTGGTGCGGCTAGGATCTCCCAGGCCGGTTCGGCGCGCGTAGGCGAACTTGAAGGTCTCAACAATACGATGCCAATAAAGGTTACTGTCGACTGGCGCGTCTGATCCCGTACCGACCCACTCTCGAAGCATATTCAAGATGAAGGCCAGTACTGACCCGGAGCCTGGCAGGGGCACTGAGTACAGAGTGTGCTCTGGTGATACGCGCACGACGATTGGCTCCTGCCATTCTGTTCTGTAAAGCAAATTAGAAGATGATAGATGATAGATTTTTTTATTTTTATTTTACTGAGAAAAAGCTTTCCAACGCTCGGCACACTGACACATTGGTAAAAACAAACACAAAATACAATTTTTAGTGTGACAAGCACTAAAAAGCAAACATGGGAAGATCATAAACTATTATTAAACAAAACAAACATTACAAAAAAAAACAATTTTTCCCACAACCCTAGTGGGAGTGCCATGCTGTTGCCTTCGGGCTTCAGCCAAATGGGCAGGCACGACCGGGGCAGTACCACTGTCTCTCAGAAAACCGGCGTGAAGTGATGCAATAAGTTCACCTTATTGTACTCGCGTTTCGTGCGGTGAGAGAGACTCCCGAGCCCCCCCTCCCCATGAAATATGAAGGTGCAGAAAAAAGAGAATCTACCCCAGGGGGGTACCACACGCGCTCGCGGTGGAGAATCCCCCTCTGGGCGTCCAACACCGGGACATTCAGCACCCGGTGGTGGACGCACAGGCTGCCCTTCGTATTCTGGGGGGGGCAATTCTGCGCTCAACATCAAAAACAGTTATCGTTCTCGGGGCAAACGGAGCAACTCAACAAAGGCACCCCCGTCCACGCTCGCTGTGGACTTCACAAATGTTAGGGGGCTCAATTCTAATATCAACGCAGTCCACTACCATTTAGAGACTGCGAAGCCGGCCTTGCTCTTTCTTACCGAGACTCAGATTTCCTCCCCGGCTGATACTTCCTACCTCTCCTACCCGGGGTACAAATTGGAACATTCATTTGTGCCGCGGGCGGGAGTTTGCGTGTACGTCAGAGAGGATATCTGTTCTCGTCGCCTCGGGACGCTTGAAGGAAGGGACCTATCTAACCTCTGGCTGCGCGTAGACTGCGATGACCATCCGCGATTCTATGCATGCCTGTATAGGTCCCATAGCGGAAATACCGAAACTGACCGACTCATTGAGCACATCCAAATGGCTACAGATTCCCTGCTCGAAAGGGTTCCTACCGCTGAAATGGTGATACTTGGCGATTTTAACGCCCACCATGCCGATTGGCTCGGCTCAGAAACCACCGATCATGCGGGAAGATCCTTTCACGACTTTGCTTTGGCTTATGACTTGACGCAAATGGTCCCTGCGATTACGCGAATACCAGATGTGGATGGTCATAAACCCTCTTTGTTGGACCTTCTGCTGACTTCACATCCGGAGAACTACCAAGTCTCTGTTGAACCGCCATTGGGTTCATCAGATCATTGTGTGGTCCGGAGCATTGTGCCGTTCACGCGCCCTCTTCGGCCTAGCTTCACGGGCTGTCGCCGCGTGTGGCACTATAAGTCAGCAGATTGGGATGGGATGCGGTCTTTTTTGCGTCCTACCCTTGGGGGCCCATTTGCTTTTCGTCGAGTACTCCAGATGCCGTCGCTGACTCTGTCGCCGAGGTGGTCCTGCAGGGTATGGAACTCTTTATTCCATTCTCTGCGGTGCCGGTCGGTGGCAAGTCCCAGCCTTGGTTTAGGCGTTCCTGCAAAGCGGCTTTGCGCCGTAAGCGTGAATGCTTTAAAGCCTGGGCAGAAGCGGTGACATCCTGTGATGTGACTATCGGCGAACGTAAAAAAGCATACAATTCAGCCTCCAGGTCCTTCAAGCGTGAAATCGCTAAAGCAAAGTCAGAGCACATTGCCAGATTTGGTGAGAAATTGGCCCACCTCCCTTCGGGAACTCGAGCCTTCTGGTCTCTTGCCAAAGCTGTCCAAGGGAATTTCTGTCAGCCCTCAATTCCACCACTGCATAGGGAGGATGACTCACTTGCCCATACCGCGAAAGAGAAGGCCGATCTTCTAGGCTGTCTCTTTGCGTCGAACTCCACTTTGGATGATCAAGGGAAGGAACCACCGACATTATTGCGGTGTGATACTACGATGCCCGAAGTTATATTCCGGCAACGTGCTATCCGTAAAGCTTTGTCTTCCTTGGACATCCATAAGTCGAGCGGGCCTGATGGCATCCCTCCAATTGTGCTGCGTACTTGTGCTCCTGAGTTGGCTCCGGTCCTAACGCGCCTTTTCCGGTACCTTTACACGCTCGGCACTGTTCCGAAGTGCTGGAAGATCGCTTCGATACAACCGATCCCTAAAAAAGGCGATCGCTCTGATCCGTCCAACTATCGCCCAATAGCTATAACCTCCTTGTTCTCCAAAATAATGGAAACCATTATTAACAGCCAGCTCTTGAGGTATCTAGAGGGCCACCAGCTGATTAGCGATTCTCAGTACGGCTTCCGTCGTGGTCGCTCGGCTGGTGACCTCCTTGTATACCTTACACATAGGTGGGCAGAGGCAATTGAGTCCAAGGGGGAGGCGCTGGCGGTAAGTTTGGACATAGCGAAAGCCTTCGATCGGGTGTGGCACAGAGCACTGCTCTCGAAGCTTCCAGCCTATGGGCTCCCTGAGAAATTATGCAACTGGATTTCCAGCTTTCTCGCTGATCGGAGCATCAAAGTCGTCATCGACGGAGCATGCTCCGACCTGAAACCTGTGAATGCTGGTGTCCCACAAGGCTGTGTCCTATCCCCGACCCTGTTTATTCTGCATATCAATGATATGTTGCAGCTTAGCAACATTCATTGCTATGCGGACGACGACGTATCTCTCGGGCTGTTGTCGATGAGTACCGGAACAAACTTGTGTCTGAAGTCGAAACTCTTCTACGTGGAGTCTCGGACTGGGGTAGACTAAATCTAGTCCAATTTAACCCCAAGAAGACACAAGTATGCGCGTTTTCCGCTAAAAAAACTCCCTTTGTCGCTACTCCCCTCTTTGAAGACACTCTCCTTAAAGCCTCAGCTAGCATCGGAATACTGGGCGTTGACATATCGAATAACGTTCAGTTTCGCGGTCATCTGGAAGGAAAGGCTAAATTAGCCTCCAAAAAGCTTGGTGTGCTCAGCAAGGCGAGACGGTACTTCACTCCGGGCCACCGCTTGCAACTATATAAAGCGCAAATTCGGCCCCATATGGAGTACTGCTCTCACCTCTGGGCGGGAGCTCCCCAGTACCAGCTCCTTCCACTTGACCGTATTCAACGAAGAGCGGTTCGAATCGTCGACGACCAGTCACTTTCCGTGCGGCTTGATCCCTTGGCGTTGCGTAGAGATGTGGGATCTCTCTGCATCTTCTACCGCATTTACCATGGAGAGTGTTCAGAGGAGTTGTTCGGTCTAATACCTGCAGCTGAGTTTCATCATCGGACGTCAAGGCAAAATACAAAATACCATCCGTATCACCTCGACGTCCGTCGTTCCACAACAGAGCGTTTTCTAAGGCAGTTTTTGCCGCGCACCACCACTATGTGGAACCAGCTGCCCACAGAAGTATTTCCGAACCAATTCGACTTAGGGTCCTTCAAGAAAAGAGCGTACCAATTCCTGAAAGGCCGGCAACGCACTTGCGAGCCTTCTGGCATTGTGAGTGTCCATGGGCGGCGGTATCACTTAACATCAGGTGAGCCTCCTGCCCGTTTGCCTCCTATTACATAAAAAAAAAAAATGGACATCGGTGAGCTTTGGCCTTTGACCAAAACGCGTTGTTGTAGATGTTAGTTCTATCTAGGGTCAACTTATTATGAGTAATTTCAGTTATTTTCTTTTTATAATTTTAGAAGAATTTGGTATACTTAGTAAAAAAAACAATTATACTGCAAACCAATTCCTAAACAAGTAAACGATATTTACCTTTATGAAATAATGATAGATAGAGATAATGCTCATGTAAGGCCATAAATACCTTAGCATTTGCTTCCGTTTATCTGATATAATAGAAATTATTTCAACAAAGCGATAAATTATACTCAATACTTCCTGGAACATCGTAATCTGCTAATGTGTCTTAAGATAAGTAGGCCATTTGCGAAAGTTGTTGCAAAAACTAGAATTGGTTTTAAAAACAGTCACGTGACTAACGGAATATAGTTTATTTTGGACACGATATAACGGTTAAGTTTAATATTATGGCAAAGGCGGTTAACCTAATTAGGCCATACAAAGCTAAATATTAAACCACGAGAAACGTACAATACATATAGAATTAAACTTTAAATTCTGTAAATTTTGTGTACGCTATATACGTGTTACAAGTTACCTGTAATTCCTGAAGTCGTCTTCTGTAATGATGCCACCGAAATTCTCTATATCTCTCACGAGAGCTGCGGTGAGAGAACCGTTGTGTATCGCCTCCGGGCCCTCCTCCGCGATTATATCGAGGGTTCGCGCGAGGGTCGGTTCGCGGATTGTATCCCCCTCTTTCCACACCTCCCCGGTTGCTGGGTTCATGTATACTTCGCTACATTAGACATATCAGTATATACATTAAGTGATATAATCTTAGCGGTACCGTCGGTATGAACTATTAGTTTGTTATATAAATAAAGAGACCATGTTCTATAATATGAGTGAGCAGTATGAGTGCATTGTTTTTAAATTTATCCTTATTCAAAAACATAGTTAAAAAAGTTATAAGGCAACGGGCGGCCTTATCGCTAACAAGCGATTTCTTCCAGCCTCCAGGCAACCGTAATGTGGAACAATGAAAAAGAAACACCTACAGAGGGTAGAGTACAAGAAATGCAAAAATAATTAACAAAAAAAAACCTCAAAATAACACGTAACTATAACTAAAATAAAATAAAGTAAAATCTAAAAAGAAAAAATAACAATAATAATAAATAAAAATAGGTATAATTTTTTTTTTAAGTCAATCTAAAGGTTAACTGATTCGCAATTATTAATATATATAAACAGAGCTAATTACGAGCCAGAAAGAAAATTATCAAAAAGAAGCTTTTTAAATAAATTTAAAGACTGAGCTCGTCTAATATCAATTGGTAGGAAATTCCATAGCAGAATACTTTTCACAGTAAAGGAGGCACTCCTCCTCTAGAATGCAGTTTTATGAGTAGGAGTTTCAAGAATTAGATTAAATTCTTGCATTTATTTCTTGCAAGCAATTAATATTTAATGTAATATCTTACCTGAAAGACGGTTCGGCGAGAATCCGATCGCTGTAAGACTTGAGTACGCGTCCCATATATTCGCTGACGCGGTGTCCGTTCCGGGCGAGGTCTGCTGCCGGCTTGACCAGCTCCTTCCAGGGCAATCGGCCGTATTCTCGGTAGAGCGCGCCGTAGCCTTTCAATTCCCCTGGCACGGCGATCGCGCGACCACCTACTTGGGAAGATGCGTTCGCGAACATGTCTGAATACGTTGCCGCTGGAGCTCTCTCCCTGGCGTTCAGCACTCGGACTCTCCCCGTAGGTGCGTCGTAGACGGTGGCCAAGAAGCCCCCGCCAAGACCCATACATTGCGAACAACCTAGGCCCTCACAGAATAACGTCGCAATAGCAGCATCCACCGCTGTACCATTTCTTTCCAATATGCTCCTAAAAACAATTTTTAACAAATTTAGTATCATCTCTGCATGGATATCTCTGTTTTCTTAAGTCAGATGCCAGTTAATATAACTGGTGTTAGGTAATTCTTCCATAAGATTTTTGGAAATATAATTTAAAATAATTGCCCGTGTCGTTCTTCTAAGTACTAAGATACGTACCGGCCTATAGCAGCGCACTCAATGCCATTGGCAGCGACGACGGCCCGTGGGTAGCGCGGGTGGTCAGGGCTGGACCACGGTTGCAGCACCAGCACCGCCACCAGCGCGCCCACCACCAGCGCCGCGAACACACTGCCTACTAGACACCAACGCGACCTGAACACGTACCATTTAGATTTTGTTTAACTATAAGAAGTTTTCCTATAAATTGTAACTAGTAGGTATGTAGTAAGGACTTAAATTAAGTAAATATTATAATTACAATGGATAAATCAACATTTAGATAATGTGAAGACGATTCTATCACAGAAGTAAATTTCGACTTACGGGTTTAAAACCAACGGTTATATCAATATTTTAAAGACAGCTAATCGTGAAGTACCTACGTACAAAGATTCATTTGTAAATTATTACCTTTATTAAATGACGGTTTTGTTTAACACTTAACCGAACATAATATTGTATTACAGTATGTCTTGTAACTGTAAATGTTTTAATTCTAGCACAAATAAATTTATAATAATTGTAGATACAATAAAACTAAAAAATATTGTTTACATGGCATACGCCATTTCAAACGTCTTGACCTGAATTAGCTGACAGATTTGACATTTGTTTTATTAAAATACGAAGACCAAAAGAGGTTTAAATGAGGATAAACGAATGAGTTGCAAGTCATTAGGTCGGTAACGTTTCTTCTGGAACAGTCTGTATATTACGGTTCCTTGGTCGGACTGGGTTAGTTCGGGGACGCTTTAACTTACAGAATTTGTATGAAAAAAAAAGCTATGTATTGTTACCTCACACTGCTCATTATTACTAATTACAGTGCTTATTTAATAGTAAACGGTAAAGGGAGTTCAAGCTATGCAACTGCCATAAAACTGACGATTAGTCGCTGTATTCTTGAAGGACGCTAAGTCGCATTAGTTTGGATATACTTTGATGGACAGTTGGTTCCTTATAACGATGCTGCAACGTACCTAAATGAGATATAGAGGTGGAAATTTGTTTTGTGCCTAGACGTCCAATAATTCAATCCCATCCATATATACAACTCCTAAAACTCTCTACAGTGAATGAGATGAATGTATTGGCTGGTGTAGCTTTTACAAATAGAATTTTACATCTAAAATCTAAAAAATTTTGGTATAATACTCTTCAATTATCAGCTAATTAAAAAGTATAATAAGATAAATAGTTTAAATAATAAATATAATATTTTCCGTCTTATTTGTTGTAAGCTTATTTATAAGCATACTTTCACATAAATAATACCTAATTGTAATAAAACTTTATGATATGATTTAGCATATAATGAGATAAAAATATTATATAAACGCCTTATGATATTATTATCATATAATCAGGCACGTGTCAATATTTCAATTAAATAACAGCAGACAATATACATAATTTTTTATATTAAACACTTTCTCCGCGTACCTATAGACTTTCAACAAATTAAATATTTCTATATTTAAGCAGAAAAGAATGGATCAAATATTTCTAAAAATACATTCTCAAATATATCATACTCGAAATAAGAAAATAGGTCCTGAAACTATAGAAACCATAACTGTTTCGATAATAATATTTCCAAAACTATTTATTTTTTTGTAAAACCTACTCATTCTGCAAGTGAGATAAAAAAAAACGATCTCCAGATTATTCACTTGGTTACGAAGTTATTTATAAACTATCACCCAAAGATATTCTTATAGAAATCAAATGTTATTAAGATTATAGCTATAATAAAGGACAACTCTGTCCGAAATTGAATACTTGTGATGAAAACATATTAAATAGAATATTAGCTTTATTAAAAAAATAACGGTTTAAGAATAAATTATATAGCCATTCAAAAAGTGAATCAACTTTAAAATACTTTTGATTTTGCATAGACTAATCGTTTACGCAGTGCACCCACCGAATGATCTTAATAAGGTAATTTTTTTATTGATGTTCCGCTCATTATGTTGATGTTTAAATGGCAAATTCAAGTCAAATTTTTCAATTGATCTAGTTGGCGAAAATAAACTCTAAGCTTTATATTAGTATAGATAACAGAATCCTCCATCCGACTTGAGACGTACTTTAAATAGGTACATTAATATAATTTTTTGGTTTGTAATCAAAGTTTATCAGACCAATTATTATTGTATAATTTCGTGTTTGTTTTGAAATTTTATCTTCAATGTAATGCTGATGTTTTATATTTAATTACTCATTCCGATGTATTTTCTGTATAAACAAACTTTTGCATGATTATTTCGTGCTAGACACCAGATTGTGCCTCAATAGTTTCCAATAAACGCATATTATTTTGCCTATTTTTATTTTTAGCAATGTAATTAATGATTAAGGGGTGATTTAATACTTACTTAGTTGTATGCTGTTTATTAACCGGCTTAACCCAATTTATTACTATTTATATATTAGTTAATAATTAGAAGCGCAAACAAATGCTTGAAGCGAATATGAACCTTTTAGTGTTTTCTTTTCATAAATTGTAATACAACATTCTTGTATCCGATAATGTCCAAAAAGGTCTACTGCAAGTATTGAAGTGTCGCTTAGATTTATGAACACTTAGATAAGCCAAGTTAGTTTTTGTTAGCGACGCAACCCTACTTACCCTAATTTTATGTTAGGTATAAGCTCATATTTTAAACGATTAAAGTCACTTTTGCTTCAAACAAAGTGTTTCATTTATGGTTAGTTAAAAGTACAAATACAAATTATATAAATACATATAAAACATCATAAATAAATATAATTAAGATGATATGACGATATGGTTTTCCTTTTAAACTCGCAAGGATAAATTCAAAAATATTGTTCTTTATAGGCAAGTAGACGATCTTATGACGATAGACGTTCTGGTTTCCTCTACTATACCTATTATACAATTGCGTACATAGATAGAAAAATGCAATTACTCGAATGCACTAGCATTTTCACTAGCTTTGATAATCATTAATAGAAGATAAATAAAGTTAGATACTTTAATAATAATTGTAAATATTGTAACTCTAATGTATAATTTACGTCTTTATACATCCTAATTTATTTGTATTATTATTCGCATAGAAATTAAAATAGAAACACATTTTTCATGTGTGAAATAAGTGTTAAAGTAGTAATCAGTATTCTAAATATGCTTAAGAACAACGAGTGTATTATTTCGTTATTACACGGTCGAGTGGGTTTGACTGGCGACGTTAAAAGACATGCAAGATAACAATTAATATCGCTAAGTATCGTGACGTGTGACGGGATTTTTTTTCATTTACCTTTAGTATATAAGGTGAGCTCGCCTAGTGGTAACAAATCAGATTAGGGTAAAAAACCGCCTTCACCGGGGAAGGAATAACAACTATAAAATAATTAATAAATCTGACTCAAATGTATGCCGTATGTACAGAGGTTGTAAGTATAACTTTAGTATAACCAAGGTAACCGAATGGACTAACCCAAAAGGACAACGAAACAAGGGCAGACCGAAAGAGCGATGGGACGACGAAATTTAAGAGTAGCTGGCAAAAAATGAATGTCGTCACATAAAATAAAATAAGGTGGAAAAAGTTGGAGGAGGCCTTGCAAACCTATGAAGCCCCTCTTTTTTTACGTATCTTCATGTTTCAACGTATTTTATTTATTATTTGTTCATGTTCTCCAGTTTTATACACTTAAATTATATTTTCCTAAGGATTAGGTAAAACCAGTTCGCTTCCGCTAGCTCATTCAGGGAGAGGAACGGACGTAGCTTCGGCGGCATCATCTCACATTAAAAACAGACAAACGGAGTAAAATTGAACCACAAACGCAAATATTATCTTAGGAGACAAATATACCTTTACCTATGTTTTGTTATTTAAATTTGCGCCCATTGTACCTACTTACTTATCGATTCTCCACTACAAAGAATATGTTGTTGTGTAACTGTAACGATTTTTTTTCCGGTGGAGGCGCCCTTATTGTCTTGGCGTCTGTGTGCCTCGCACACTTCACACAAGGGCGGCGCGGCCCTGAGTATAATGATCGTGATAATTGTTAAACACATTGCCTTAAGAATGTTCTCAACAACTATTGGAGATATAAATCAAACATGCTCGTGTATTGTAAACGTTTAATTCTACAAAATGAAGACGACAGGGAAGTGAACAAGTTCTTGAGTCATTTTAACTTTTTTATTAAATGGAAAGACGCATCCAAGGAATTTCTTATTCGTACAAATAGGCCTAAATACCTTATGTCTAGGGGCTGTCCATTAATCACGTGATGTTTTTTTAACATTTCCTCACCACGTATGGTTAGGTAGGTTTAGTATAGGTTTGAGACTACCCCCCAACCCACATCAAAAATCACATGTATTTTTTACTACCCACAAATGATCTTACATTTTTTTAAATATTATTTTTAAGTACCGGTATAAAGTATAATCTAATCCAATTCTAGAAAATTAAGGACCATGATAAAAATGTCAAGATATAACGGTTGCAGGTTGTTTTTGACTGGCATAAAAATAATACATATTAAAGGAATATTATTGGAACGAAGTTCCTTATCGCGCGTTGTGAAAGGGGGCTAGACGGAAAAAATTCTTACGAAAAGTTGTCACGACACTTTTTTGCTATTTGCTATTGTTTGTTATAGTTTGTTAAGCAACGTCGGGCGAGGTCAGTACTTGGATGGGTGACCGCTTGGGAACACCTCGTGAAGTTGGCTTTTTTTTCGTCGTAAGATTGGTGTCGAGAAAATCTATCATACTGTTATGATACCAATTAACATATAAATTAATCGAAAGGAATTTCGTTCCATCCGGGTGTCCCTTGACACCTCTAAAGTTTTATATAAAAAGGGTGTAATCATGCGAAAAACATATATTGTATAAGTACATGAACATATTTAATGTACATTTAACATTGCCACAGATTAGCAAGACTTTTTCTTCAATACTAACTGGATCTTGCAAGTCAGTAATTGGTACTGTACTTTGTTGAAGATCAACGGCGGTTTCATCAAGCCACTCGGCGTCATCACGCGCACTACGCAGAGAATCTCTCTCGATCTACTGATCGATCGTTTTTCTAAGCCGCTTTTCGGGTTAGAAATCACACGTTTGACGAAAAAAATAAGTACCGGTGATATCTTAATATACCCCCCTCCACCTTGTGTTATTTGCTTGTCCGTGTAGACAGTAGGATTCCGAATATCGCACTCTGATGTAGCCAGATGACATTGTGTACAGTAGTTCAGAATGCTTTCAAATATATATTATTCAATACGTAGAAATTGATATATTATGAGATCGATTGGTATTTCATAAACTATTAGAAATAGCTTTGGGTCTACACCAGTTAGCGACAAACACTAAAAATATAATTCCTGTTGATAATAATCCTAATCTATATTTTGTCGTTATATAGACATCTCTCGTTATCAGCGATAAAATAATCTATCTGTTAAGATTTCATTTGAACATTGACCAACTGCTGTAGTATTTTATATAAGTTAAATAGTTCTTATTCATCTTCTGATTAAAAAATAAAAATAAAAAAAAGTCTTATGTATTAGAAAAATATAGCGTTTCAAACAATACTCTGAAGATTGAGGGTTTCAAATTGCAACTTACAATAAGACAGTAATTTTTATAAGAATAACTTATTCATAATATTTCTATGAAGATATAACTTCTTAAAAAATTTCATTTTTCTCTTTAAAAAGACGAAGAACTCTTCACAGGATAGCTGCAGATTAAACTTGATGAGTAACTCTGATTTCATTAAATTTACGTAGCATTTTAAAAAGAAGGCGTTTTGGAAAGCAATTTGATGGTAGGATACTTAATATAAAGTTTGAAGATAATCCCGGTATTTTTTTTGGATTCTGTTAAAAGAGTTGGTACGGTGGTGGTAGTACACACTTCTTATTGCCATCGAATTATTCCCGAAAAGCGGGACTAAGCGTGTCCCGCGCGGGACATTTCATTTTGATTTAAAAATCGGGACGTCCCGCCAAAATCGGGACGTCTGGCAACGCTGATTTTGGCTGAATATTACCGCGTCCTTCGATTGCATTTGGTATGAACAATTAACAAGTCGCAATAGACAAATAACGATCAAAATATAATACTGGTCTTAGATCTTCAACGTATTTACGTAGATCTATTAGTTAACAATATCGTTCCTCATCTAATAACTGAGGTAAACTTACAGTCAGTTAAAAATAACTATCGTTAATATTTATATATTATTATTTTTTTGGTTTTTGTTGGAAGTTTGAATCAATAATGTTCATACAAATTCAAACAATGTCATAATTGGACTCAGGCGACCAATGTTGTATAAACAATATTGCATATCATTTTTGTTTATACAACGTAGAAATAACGTTATGGTATTTTTTATAATGCTATATATTTTCGTAAATGTACACGCAATATATAAATAACTAAAAACTTATTTTCCCATACAAACAAAATAAGTATCCATTCCAGGTAAGAAATGTCGACAAATTCATTCATACTAGACGACCCGACCGCGACGGTCAAAAACGGCAACGCCGCGCATTGCCGTGCTAGTTCGGTAGAAATAAAAGAATACATCCGACCGTGACGTAAATATTTTTACTTAGTTCACTCATTTTAATTTCGAAACTAAACAATACAAATATCTTATCCAGCCTTTAATAAATTTTGTTTTTATTATGATTGATATCAAATAACTGATTACAGCAATTATAGCAACGCACATTTTATAGTAAAGTTCCTTTAGGTAATGAATAGAATCAAAATGTCTTTAGCGAGAAAGCCTAAAAGGTGCCTTTGCCGTTTCTAAAATTTTATGCATCACGCAAATTTCCTAGAATTAGCGGTTTAAGTAACTAACTTAGATTAATGTATCTTTGAACTTAATTATTAAATAGGTTCAAGTTCCATCATATCCGTTTTGTGAGTTTAGATTTGGTGATCTTTACACAAAAATGAATAAGAAACATTCCTAGATGTAAGGTAGAAAGCACGAAGCGGTGCGCGCGCTACTAGCTTTGAACTAGAGCTGTCCGCGACACCAAAGAATTTTGTGCATTATTCAAATTTTGTTATAATATCCTATCATTACAAATGAGTCGATCTTCTTTATATTGCATGTATGCCGATTATTTTGTGTATGGAAATTATTATTTCCTGATGTTGATGTTCTATTTGTTGTTAGCTAACATTAATTCACATTTATTTGTACCTATAGTTAATTGGTGTTTCTATTCCTAGCTTCTTAAGCTACTACCACTATTATCACAGCACTTATTAATTCATATTGGGTTTTTACAAATCACAACTTCTCTATTCGCAAGACTTAGGATTAATACGCGAGCATAAGCGATCTGCACCTGCGCATGGACAAATTACATTACCAATTTCGATCACAGGGACAAATCAATGAAATCTATCGAGCGGTCAAAAGGTAAGTAGGGCAAGGTGGGATGGCCAAATTTTGCAAATGGCTCAAGACTGTTGACCCCCTTTAATTTATCAAGGAAACGATATAACAGTACGGTATATACACTACAGATTATATATAACTTAAAGGTAAATATGCAAATTAGACAGTAAATATGCACCACGAAAAAGCTATCAAAGCAACTTATAATGTATGCATGCAACGTGTCTAACCAGTTTTGAAAAACGTAAATAGTACGTATGTAAATCCTACCTTATCATTTTGCTTGAACACGACACTTAGAAGCGACTACTGATCACCAACTGCGCCGGAGTCGAATTAAGTTAGAAGGCTGAGCGTAAAATTGCATTATACGTGTAGATACGAATGCCATTCCTTCGATTACCTGTCACAGTAAACTCGCCAACTGTTTCATGCATTTTATGAACATGAATATTATGCAATAAAACAATTTTTAAGAAAATAAATTTATTTAAGTAACATAATATAATTTATTTACTTAAACTACTTAAGATCACAGTTCTATTATAAAAACGTATTGTTTTAAATATCTATCGAATACGAAAATGTAAAACTTTGGGATGTTTATAAATTAGGGCCATTTCGGTAGCCTTGTAAAAATAACAACATTATAAGTAACTGTGAAAACCACAATCAATTCGACGTAGTTCTACGTTCATAAAAAAATTCTATGAATATTACATAGACATTTTTTTGGAGTTAATCGTAATACAACGTAATATTTTATTTTCTATTTAAAAGTTATTTTAAGTTTATATAAATAATTATTAATTAACTCATTAAAAAATGCGTAATAAGCGATATATCTTAACATCATTTAACAAATAGATTAGTGATGTTTAAGGAAAAAAATACTGCGTAGTGATCTCTCTGGAAGAGGTCGGTGTCAAATTCTAATCACTACCATTCATGACCGCAATAAAAAGTTATTATTCTATTTCTGAGTGAATTTCCGGTTATTTCCAACCATTTATATGGATTTGGTTGCTTTATGTGTAAATAAGCCTACAATTCTAAACTGTATTATGATTGGCCTAAATAATCTACTCTGGCAATTAGTTGATATATATACGGGAAAGGTCGGATTAAATTAAATTTAAATTCAAAATTATATGTAATTATGATAGCGGTGGTAATACATTCATCAAGTGTATTTTTAACTGATTTCAAAAATCCCCCCCCTTACATTCAATCAATATTAAATACGAGAATAACTGGAGTATTAACAGTCTTTTACATTAAAACAATTGTTATAATTAAAGACAACAAAACCGTATAGGTTGTATTTTATTTGCATCTATTTACCATTAATTTGGACATCTCTATAGCAATCACGAAGGACGTGTTTTGAAAGAAAACCTGATTTTACTAGAATGTTGCATAGATTTTTTTAAATATATTTTTAGCGATTTTCGGTCTCAGACCAGTCAGGGTATAGATTAACAGATTTTAAATCGACTAGTCTGATCAATGAGATTAGTTTTTATTGAATAACTTAAAATATGGAAACAAAATATTTATTTATATAATGTGTATACTCATAGGTATATGTACCCACCCCAGGATGTCAGGTTGCCAATTCGAATACATATATCCTTAGCAAATGGGCATAGTTTAACAGTTTTGAAATAAAAAACGAGAGAGTAACCCCTTACTAAAAAATAAAAAAAAGTGCAATGGCACCGTTTTAATAAGATACTCATATTTTTATTTTCATCACAATTTGACAGAAAGAGACGAAAGAGTGCTTAAGCTAAAATGTTTCACTTTAAAGCAAATAAGGTAACTAATAAAATAACATGTGTTTCAAGATAACTAGCCCATATACCTTTAGAAAGGTACATATACACATATAACATATCTTATTATAAAATTAATTGATTACTTTTAATTACGTAAATATATGTATTTTTTATAAATTGAGTGTTTAATTATTAAATATATTATATTTGATATAAGGCCATTTTAAATATAGATAAGTCACTCACCTAACACTCAGTTGTTTTTCATACATTTTTTCTAACACCATATTACATATGTTATATCACATTTATTTTATGCTTTGTTCTTTTCATTTGCTAGTGCACATTATAAAATAAAGCACATGTTTATAGAGTTCAATTAAAGTTCTAACAAGTTACCAGTTACTCTATGGTTCCAAATACACTCATTAACAATGCTTTAATTCACATTACTAACTTTTAACACCTCATAATTAATAGATGCTATTCTTGAGTCCATTGTATTCTACGATAATATCTCTGCTAGGAATCTTTTGATACCATTTGATTATCGGTAAAGCAATGCTTGTGACCTGGGTTTTTATATGAATTCTCGTGCAAGACACTATGGGAGCTTGTCCTACATTTTGTAAGACACAGCTCGTAATCGTCAGCAAGGGAATGCACCAGAACATGCTCTTCTGCAGTTAATTTAGATAACACAACTTGCAGCATGTTACGCTGAAACCAAATTAAATTACATCTCACAAATTTTCTACCATTACACTGAGTATGAATACAGAAGTTAGAATGTATTTTCTATTTAATATGTATATTCATATATGATCAATCTACCAAAATATGCATCAAACCTGAAACCGTGTTATGCATACCTTACCTTGAAATACTATTATATTGAGTTATTAATATTTCAAACTGCTTACCAGTGTTTTTAATTAAATAATCAATACTTTATTCTGATATAATAGTATAAATAGTTTTAGTTAGTTAAAATAAATAGTTTTTCCAATTAAATTATTGATACGAAAATAATAATAATCTTTTAAGGGGTTATAACGCGTAATATTTTTACTACCTTTTTAGGATCAAGACAACATGCAACACAGTATTCATAAATGATACAGCAGTGATCCTCGTTACATGATTGACAACTATATCGTGTAGTTTCATCTGTGTCAATCACACAGCAACCATTTTGCCCTATATCATTTCTTCGGCAAACATATCCTGTAACAATATCATTTTATTGAACACCACTTACAGAATTTGTAGGTAAGTATTTGTTTACTCTCATACCATATTAAAACAATCGGGTTGGATTTAAAAGGATTAAATTGTAAACATGTGAATAAGTTTCAACTAAGATGAATAAACATACAAAAAACAATATATGCTGAGTTACAAAATATGGAATATAAGACATCTATCACATATTTCTCATAAGAAGACTAAACTTCTATTCCATTATGTTAAATTAAAATATTAATTTTTTTCAGCAGCATTAGACACATTTTTCCTAAATGTTTGTTATTGGTATTAGCTGTTATATACAGTAGGACCAAGGAAAGTATTGAATACCTCTATCATCAACAATTAATGCCCGGCCTTGGACAGAATTTCTACATTCCACATCAGTTGTTTCATTATGCTCTTGTAGAGTACGCCAAACAAATGGCTTATGTTGAACTGAGACGTCTTGATATATCATATTTTTGTTGTTACCCTTAAAGTATAAAGTTTACATTACATTTCTTAACTATTTGGAAAAAGAATACATAAAAATCTTGTTTAAACTTCTATGGAATAAATAATATGATTACCTTATACTATAAAAAAGGAAGAAAGACAAATTGTTTAATTAAAATCATGATATAATTTAGGTAACTAACCTCTTTGAGAAAACTCACAATACAGTAAGTTAATGATGAAGCAAATATGATTCCAAGCACCAAGGGCCTCCGAATGAAGCGTAATATAGCAGCATAAAACATTGTTACTCGCGGAAGCTTAGTTTTGTTCGCACAATGATAACTTAAATAAATCGCAAGTAAAAACATTTTTGACGTTACATATTATCTTCACTTACTCTCCCGTTTTAATGCAATTTACAGTAGTAATGTGAATCACAATCGTTAATAAACGTATACTAATTGAAAGTAATCAGTATTTGTTTATAATTATTTTTATATTCTAATTTGTTATTATTGTATTTTATAAGTATTCCAAAGACTACTAATTTAACTATATACATAGGTATTCGAATGTACTTAGGCCTTAGGGCAGTCTCTGGTATTCTTTAGACTATTCCGATTTCACAGATTATGTACAGTGCCAACGGAGGAGAAAACTGCCAAACTTTGCCACTAGTAAGTAGCCTGTAGCGCTGGTATCGCTTGACCCATAACAAATGCAAACGTCTAAGCCCCTACTTTATTATTATAACACAAGATAAAACAGTTTTTTTCTCCAAAAATACCACGCTGCGCAGCATTCGGTTGTAATAACAATGGCAATCACAGTTTTCCTAAGGACGCATAAGATGACTCTGGGAAAAAGCTCTAAAAAGACGTCATTTCAAAGCTCTTCGAGGTTATGTTCGGAAGCGGAAAATTTTATTGAATCCGATTATAAAGTTTGCATAAACTACTTTTAAATTATAATGTATATGGTATAGGTACTAAGGTATGTAATACTATGTAATGTAGTACTAATTATTATGCATTCATTTTAGGTTTACCTCAAGTTCATAGATATTTGAAAAAGGCTGCAATCCCAACTGTTTTCGCATGGAAGAAACTCACTACCACAGCAAGTATCGTAATAATATAATTGTAGGGGCAGCCAAGTCATTATTATCAGTGGAATGGATCAATTTCTTTATTGTTAGTTAAATTAAGAAGAAATAAACCTGATTTTGAGATGGCAATTTTTTTTTGCAATTCACCAGTTATTTATCGCTAGGCGATAATTTCGACATTTTAGTAAGAAGATTCTTTCTTACGAGAATCTCGAAACACGATCTCGTAAGACATTTTTTATGTTCATACGAATGTCGTACAAATCGGTTTGAACCGTTTTGAGTGCGAGATTTTCATTCGAGTTTAGTGATTACTAGGGTATTGTTCTCAAAAATCCTTTTAATTTTGGGGCTGCCGATAATATTAAGTTATTTGAACTTTATAGAAGTTACGAGTGTTTGTGGAACACGGAAAAAGAAAATTATAAAACCCAATTTTTTAACCCAAAATCTTTTTTCCGTTTCTGTTTAATTAATTCTTGTATTAATAATTAAAACACCCTTACGCACTGCACCATGGTAGCAACTGGCACAAAACCTCGAAATACGATTATTGCTTTTGAAATTCTGTTTCACGTACACAATCAATTTTCCATTGCGAGGCAATTGTCGCCAAAAAAAGTGGAAGAGAGAGAGGTGTGAATGTTTAGACGAAGAAACTTTTTTATATTCCTTCGATACAATTTATTACATATTCCAATTTCCAATATTTTTTATCAAGTAACTGAAGGAAAAGTAATTTTGATAAAGAACCTTTTAATCTATTTCTTTTTTGATCAAGAGTAGAGAGGAAGTGTGAGAGAGAAAGAGCGAGCGACACTTCGAAGAATGAACGAAGGGAACGTACGGTGCGCAGTGAATGAATTGGTCGAGGATTGATCGATCGATGATCGATTCCTTTAACATCCATGTTACGATATTTTTCGTATAGCAACATCGATGATCATCGAGCATCCCATACCGTTGTCGGTTCCTCGACGCACATCAAAGGGCACGTCAAATAGGAAAATAAACCGTCCACATATCTAATAGCCATATTCAGAAGAGCATACTACCAGCATTCTTACTATGTATTTTTTCACACACAGCACGAATTTCGCATGGATTTAAATAATAAAATTCTTCTACTAGTAGAAATACACCCATAGGTGTACACATTGCTTACTGCGGCAAATTTTTGTGTATATTATCTGGCGGGAGCATTTCGTATATGCATATCGGCAATTAGCAATCAGAAATAGCCATGTGGAATGCCACCATAACTTTGAGAGGCAAGTGTCTAGGTGTCCAGTCTCATTTTTACACGAATCTTATTGTTTTTAGGTTTTTTATCCTATTTATTAGCGGAATAGACATTTACCTGCAACATTACGCCTGTCTGCAATGTGCCCCTTAGAACTCCATGGGGTTGTACTTGGCAAATTCCATCTGCAGAAAGCTTAGCTCTCATTATTCTTTTACTTTTTTGAAGGAATTGAATGGAAGGTTAATAATAATAATGCCTTTCAGAATTAGTTTATTAATTAATTAACAATTGTCTTTTTTTAATTCACGTACAATACAGAAAGTGCAAAACTTCTTGCCCTTAGCGATATAATGTTAGACTACGATGATAAAATTTGCCTGTTTAATAGGGGCAGTGAAATTTATCGCTTTCTGTTTGTATAACAAATCTGTAGAACATAATATAAAATAGGTAGCTTTAATGTACTATCCAACTACGATTTATATAGTTGGTATAGTTATAATACTTATCATTAAAAATTGCAGCAACTAATCGAAAGTTATTTTTCGAAGCAAATCAATACATATTACAGGGAAAGTACAAGATAACGTCGGCAATCATACACTTCTGGACACATCTATTGGCCCACCTTGCATTTTCAGTTTCTTTTGGTCCTACCTAAAAATTTATATTAGGTCGAGTAAAAAGTTTTTATGCAGTTTTGAACCTGGCACATTCATAATTGCATTCAATATTTTTTTTATTTCGAACACAGAATTTAAAGAAACAAAAGACAATTTGGAGCCTGCTCATTGATATCAAACAATCGAATACTAAGAAAACTTGATTTTATTCGTTTAGTTGGATTTAATTCTTGAAAGTGTGTTTTTCTCTTTGGTTTTGCAACAAACATTACTTATTCTTAACATTAAGATGAGGTTCTATCAATAATCTATGGATACTTCGCCTGAAGTCGCCGCCCAAGCTGTGGCACTTATCCGGGCCGGACACAGCCAAAGAAATGTGAGTGATCAACTTAATTTAAGTCGATCTGCGGTCCGAAACGTTTATCAGAGATACCTAGAGCCTGGCGGCTTTGTTCGTGGCCAAGGAAGGCTACGATTTCGGGTCACAACTTAAAGGCAGGATCGATTCATCGTGACGACCAGCCTGAGAAATCGTCACCTTACCTCCATTGAGATACAAAACCAACTTCGCGACTTCCATGGAGTAAATGTGAGCGCTCGAACTGTTCGGAGAAGATTAAAAGAACGCGATATGGTACCACACAAGCCAGCTAATGGCCCAAAACTAACGCGAGCCCACCGAATAGCGCGCCTTCATTTCGCGCGTTCACACTTAAATTGGACTCAGCAGCATTGGAACGGTGTACTCTTTTCTGATGAGTCTAAAATTGCGTTACATGGCAATGATGGAAGGAAGAAGGTCTACCGACGTAACGGAGAGCGTTTTGCACAATGCTGCTATGAAGAGAGGGTTGCTTATGGCGGTGGCTCATGGACTGTCTGGGGCGGTATATCTGCGAGCGGCAAAACTCAACTTGAAGTTGTTACGGGATCACGGCTGCCAACATTAAATGGTGAAAGGTACATTCTTGAGTGCTTAGAACCTCACGTGATGCCATACGCGGACTATGTGGGCCCAAATTTCCTTTTATGCATGATAATGCAAGAGCCCATACGGCCGGCATCGTCAGAGAATATCTTCAGGATGTGAACATCGCAGTTATGGACTGGCCAGCCAGAAGCCCATATATGAACCCCATTGAGCACATGTGGCACGAGCTAAAAAGACGTGTTAGGGCTCGTCAGCCAGTTGCCCAGACGATGCAGGAATTGAAAACTGCCATAGAAGAGGGATGGGAGATGATCCCTCAAAATTTTGTAGAGCGGTTGATAAACTCTATGCCTAATCGTATCAGAGCTTTCGTAGATGCCCATGGAGGCAACACGCGTTATTAAATTAAACCTTTATTTGATAAAACACGTTTTTTATTCAAAAATCAACTGACTTCATCAAGGCGCATACCCGACTTGTTAGGCTTATCTCCATGTGGTGTGGTATTCTAAATTCAAATTTAAAACAATACGATCGAAAAAGATGGTAAAATGTATCAGGTTCAAAACTGCATAAAAACTTTTTACTCGACCTAATATAAATTTTTAGGTAGGACCAAAAGAAACTGAAAATGCAAGGTGGGCCAATAGATGTGTCCAGAAGTGTATAAAAACATAATAATGGCGTCTTTCAAAACGCATATCAAATTTAAATCTACATTCAACATCAGTGACACCATTTTTCTACGAAATGCTTGAGTTTAGATTGCGCCTTGATGTTGAGCAACATGTTGGAATACAAGTCGAACTTCCAGCAGCGTGCCAATAAAATATTTTTAATTCTGCGACAATCGCCAGTTGGTAAACTTATTTTCTTTCAATGATGGCTACTACATAATATCTTATGAACGTACCATTCCGATAGCTGTAAAAATAAAGTATATTAATTATTTATTAACAATATTTAAAATATTTTGAACGATTGTTGATTTGAAACATAAGATAGATATTGAGTGTGCCAGAGTCAATAACATTTTTATATACCGTATTAATTAATGTATATCACCACGAGGTGGCGCAGGCGCTGACAGACACATCCCGTGTTCGTTCTTCCGGCGGAAGTGTGCATTTTGTTGATTAAAATTATACCGCCAAATAAGTGCAAAATGAAGATAAAACACTCTGTTATCAATAAATAACCGCAAACTAATCAATTAAATAGTTCAACATTAGAAACCACAATAGAGGTTTTCTGTTTCCTGACTTATATCATACTTTTCGCGATAACGTCTAAAATCGCACGTATCCGGGCTGGTTTTAATCAATGTTATTGAAGTTATACTTCTTTAGTCACGTTATGAAAAATTGATGAGAGTGAAATTTTTACGATGCGCGCGCGCCGTTACACAAAATTAACACAATGAAGTTAGTTCTAGGTGGCATGAAAATCGATAATAA